GAAATTCTATCAATTAGTTTCTGAGATCAAATATGTAAAATCACTATGCAGTGAAAATTGTGTTTCCGAATCCTAGTTTTCACAAAAAATTATGTGGTTCATTGTTTTAATATCCGCAGAATTACAAAATCAAATTTTAAGTAAATTATTTGATTGTTTTTCTCTATTAGAGTAATATTGTAAATTCGGCTGATAGTAAAAATTCAGTTGTTCGACACCTGGTTTCCTAAAAAAAGTTGGGTGACCTGTTGTATTTTCAGATGGAGTTTTTATAGAAAATTTCATTAAAATTAGCTGACTATTTTCTTCAAAGTATTCAAAAAACTAGTAAAATCCCCCTGCAGTAAAGATTAAATTCCAAAGTCCAGACAGTCATATTCGAAATGTTGATCTTCAAAGACAGACAGACAGATGGGCAGGCAGACATCTACTTTACTTTATTTATACTCACCTTGTATGGAGCAACACAAAACTCGACGAAATTTGGTGCATTCACATAACTTCCGTTATTGTATACAATGCGGTCGCAACATTTGAGAGTTGAAATTATTATATAATAGGGAATGAAATGTAGGTATTCATTGTTATTGATTACAATCGGATTGATAAATTTCATGGCAATCGGAAATGGTGTAGTAGTGTGCATAGGAATAATAATTGAGGGTCATATTTAAAAACCACTTCAGAAGGTGGTTGTTAAATATGGCCCTCATCATTCAATCCCAATACTAGTTCAAAGTTAACATAGATACTTGTATATTGTAATAAAAATCCAAAACACGAGCCCAGTTGAATTAAGTCAAATTAATTCAACTGTTTTACATCTAATCAAGTGGAACTGGCACACTATCACAGAATATAAAAAGTGAATTTAAAAAATTTTTTTTCAACAAAATTTCCTTAATTTCAAAAAATTTTTTTTTATTTAACATCTCGGGTTTCAATTGCTTTTTGTATAGCTTTATAAGCTCTAATACACATAAACTTGTATACTATCAGCGTTTCTCTTCTCCAATTTCACTCTTCTAACATTCTCTTTTATCTACGAGAGAAGTTAAGTAAATGAAAGAAGAGAAAGACAAGAAAACGTTAAAAGAAGACAAGTGTGTATAAAGGCTCAAATAATTTCAAAGTTTGACAATCAATTTGAAAGAAAAAATAAAACAAATTCGAATTTTTTTTTGATTTAAAATAAAAATTTAAAGATTTATTTTAGAAAATTCAAGAAAAAAAAAAATTAGAACAGAAAAAAAAACCATCTGGTTTTATTTGCTGAACTTTTTTTTTTTTACATTTTATTAAAAAGTTCATTCTTTAAAAAAAAAAAAAAGAAAAACAAATCTCAAAAATTTTTTTTTTCATCATTAATTTTGAACTCGTGTTAAACTCGTGTAAGACTCATACTCTTGTAAAATCACTTTTTACTACATTTTTAATACATAAAAAGTCCTGTTATTTTCCTCTTTTTTCTCTCTCACTCTCTTTTTTTTTGGTTTTGATTTTTATTTTGTTTGTTAAAAAATTTACAACTCCATTAGGTGACCACCACTTTATAAAAAAAATAATTTTTTTTCTTTGTTGCTTTTTATTACTCCTGTGAAAAACCAACCCCATTATAAAGCAACAACCGCTATAACATAAACGTATTTTGAAAATTTTTTAACTCCCTTTTTTTTTTTTACTTTTTTGTTAATATACGGGTCCCCCATTATTATTATTTTTATATTTTTTTTTCTCTCTCTGTATGTACAACAATCAAGTATTCTTCTGAGTAAAATCGTTCACAATAGAATGAATGAAATGAGAAGAGAGGAGAGATGAAAATAAAGATGGAAAATAGTTATAATAAGACCAACACGCTTTTTAAAATTTACTGCGGTAAATCCTTAAAAGCCGCATCCTTTCTATTCTATTTTTTCTTCTTTTTTTTTTAAATTGAAGCTTCTGTTCTGTTCTGCTTTTTGTTTTTTTTTCAAAAGTAAAAATGCCACCACCACCACCACATAGCTCATAGCCATTATAAAATGACATTTTCAAATGAAAATTTAACAAAAAAAAAAAAACAAAAATTGAGGGTAACAGGGTAGCACTATGGTGGCTAGATAACATGAGATTCATTTTTCTTATGTGATTTGTTTTTTTTTTTCGTTCATCTGTTCTTGTTGTTCAATAAAAACTTGTTTAGAAACGCATCAAGAACTTTAAAATTTAAAGAACACATAAATAAATTTATTTATATATATACATATATGTACATTTTATTCACCATACAAAATTGTATTGTGTAGATATTATATACGATCTAATTTTTATTTGTTTGTATGTGTAACATTGTAGTATGAGTTAAGTAATACAAAATATTATAAAATATCTCACATGAGATAAACTTATTTTTACAAGTTGTTTTCTGGCCAGATGAAAAATGGAAAATATAACAAGAACAATAAACGTATAACGTATACGTTACGATAAGGAGAGGGTGTTGTTATAAAATTAAATTTACAATATTGCTATCGGAATAGTGAACAACATTGGTTTTGTATACGTCAATTGTGTATATGTACTATATCGACTTTGTTATGAATAACGATTTAGTAGACACAGAAAATTTATTGTAAAATAATTGACAATATAAAATTTTTTAAAAAATATTTAAAATGGGAGAAAAACAAATTAATTTGTTATAAAATAATGTTATTTGGAATGACTACATTATTTGAAAATTTCGGCTTCAATTAAAATAAAATGACAAAAGGCCTGTATTAGGTTTTCAGCCCTAAGTATATTAAAGTACGACAAATCATTGCAACTTAAAAGGCTTATTGCAAATTCTAATGAAATCATCAGATAATATGCATGCCAGGCATATCTAGGGTCATTATTTTATGCATATTGAACCATAAGATCGTAACAGCAAAGGGAATTGTCAAAAATTCGAAGTTGAGGTAAAATTGTGATTGGTTACGACATAACAGTCGAATGCAAAAAGCTGTTTCATTCATCGTGTGATAGATGCTGGGATATGACGCAGTGTATGTATCATAGTTAAGTTGATATCTACAATTGAGAATGAAAAAATTCACATAATAACATATTCTTGCACGCCCCAGAGGTTTTTCACCCAGATAGTCAGAAAATGAACACCATAAGTTACTCGAATATAAATGAATTATCCTAGTAATGTTGGTATAAATCATAATTTGCTTCTGTTAAAGTGTTTTCGAGTAACAACACCGGACACACTATACAAACAAGCTCAGGTACGACTAACATTGTTAAGAAGATTCCCCATTTCACTGACACTTGTTTATATATGAGGCAGGACCCTGGTTTAATTAGCACATTTATTGAACAAAAACTGGCAGCATTAAGTATGCCGACATTCAAATTGATTAATAAAGTGGAAATCTGCGGTAGATTATAAAAAATTGCATGAGCCATCTGTTGTTAGTATTTGCAAAGATGCAAAGTATTTTTGGTATAATAATTTGTTTACGTCTGTAGTTAATTTTTTATATTCAATTTTAAAATACACAATATCTAAAATAAAAATTAAGGAAAAAAGAATAATAGAAAAATTTGCAAAATGTTATAGGAAATGAAATGCTTGTCCCTTCTATTCTTATACATAAGTTTGTGGCGATTACAATATTGAAAAATTCTATATTTTCGCACAGTTCCAAATATTACAAGGAACAAAATATATAAAATTATAATAAATATATACAAACGTATATAAAATGAATATTTCAAAGGATAAAAGGAAATCTCAAATCCAATAAAATCACTTTACAAGAATGATAAATCCTTTATTATGTTATTTTGAATTTACCGTATTTTCCATAGATAAAGGAAAAAAAAATTGCTCTTCCTTATGGCTTATGAATAAATAACCATGTCCAAAGATAGAATTCTTTTGTATCCGCCATTATAGAGTGTAAATTTTAAAAGGATTTTAGTATAACCTGTTTTTTTTTTTTTAAATAACTTGAATTTTTATAAACATATCTTGTCTCTATTTGTGATTTTGAATTTTTGGGGTTGTAAAGTTGAAATTAACATAGAGGTATTTAGAGTTCGTCTTCGCATACAAAGAGTGGTATGTGTTAAATAAAGGATCAATTTAAATAATTTGTATAAAATATAAGGAAGGAATGAAAAGGTCATAAAATTTTTGAATTCAAAACAAAATTTTTAATTGAGTTGTTCTTATGTATATTGGGGAGGAATTCAAAAAATTTCCACAAATTGAAACAAATTTTAAATAAGTGCGTGTAAGAGAGTATGGTATGAGATGTTGATGGGTGTATAGAAGTCGAGATATAAAATTAGGAATTTTTTTTTATAATAGTTTTGAATGTTTGTATATTTGTCTTGCATATTTTATTATAACAATAGAATTAGTTAAATGAAACATTAAATTGTTTACAAAATTAAGAAAAAATGTTCAATGTTTACGTCAGTTAAATGTAAAAACCTTAATTAAAAAATGTTGTTTATGTAAACGATATACTCTATAAAGTTTTCTCAAAGAGAGAGAGAGAGGGACAGAGAGAGAAAACAGAAGAGAACAAGCGGAGAAACAAAGCGGAAGTTAAGATTCTACACAAATCGTCACAGTAAATAAGAAAGGGTAAACAGTTTGTTGACAACTAATTTAATTTGAAAATTTATTTTAGATTTGGAGTTGTATGTGAAGCAGATTGAAGGCGGACCGAGTAAACAACAAAGGTGCGCTGCAAAAGAGAAATTAATCCTAAACCACCTAATATGGTGTCCTCTTAAAAGAAGACAAGATATCAGGCGTTTATATTTTATTTGTAGTCATACTCTCTTAAGAGCCGATTTACTTGACATTTCGTAGACAACTGTGAGTAATGTTATGTTACAGGACAACTGTGAGCTTTATGATATGTTACAGGAAAAAGCAATCAGCTGGTACTTAAAAAATTTGACATTTTTTTTTTAAAAATTAAATATAGCATTTTTCAGTAACATTTTTATGCTGCCAACAAAACAGACTGTGCTACTAATTCGGAAACATTTATCATGGTTATAACGTATGATACTCTGCAACTTATTTCTTTAATATATAAAAATACATGTGTAGTATACGTTCGTAATATGCCTGTAATTAAAGATAATATTTTATATATTTACGTGTATTATGCTTTATGTACCTTATACAATATGCATAGAGTGCAATGTTTGCTCACTCAATAAGATGGGAATGACAAGATTTATAACAATTTTATGTGATCATAATTTGTTAATCTTTTTTCTTGTTTTGCTATTTTTTCGCAGCTTGTTATATAATTAGTTTTATTTTGCAATGTAGACTAGATATAATTAATTTTGTGATAAGATTGTACGAGTTTTTTTTTTTGAACATAACCTGTGTATAATAATGTTATAGTGAATTATTATGAAGCTATTGCTGTTTTAGATGAATAAGGGGTTGCCATATTGCGTAGATGAAAGAAATTGTCGGGCAAAGAAAACAACAATAGAGCCAAAACATATAAGTATGTATGATTGTATGCATGATGTATTTTTCTTGTCGTTTTTAATTAATATCTTCTGTGCATGTTTTTAGTTTACGGTTTCGGAATTTATAAGATGTACACTTTTCATTATAATATTCAACGATGAATTTATTTTTCTTTTATCAAAAAAATTTTTACATACATAAATTTTTACATCATTTTTCCATAAACAATTTTATTCATTTGGTTTTTGCCGTTTTTATTTAACTATCTGTACGCTTATATAAAGAGGGATGTTTTGCTAATTAAGAATTTTAATATTACAGACGGTATATGCATACAAAATCAAATATGAAAGTATGTTGATTTTTATTTCTTTAAAACTTTTATTTTGAGAGGAGGATTGAAGAAATTTTAATGGTTCATGGTTGTATTTATTATATTTCCACAATGTTTCATTAAAATTAATATTAAAATTTTATGATATAACTGAGAATATTGATTGATTGCAGTTTATAAGAAAGTTTGTATAATGGACCAGGACAAAGGTATAGTACCCCTTTTTAATAAAACAAATTCATTAGCATATCGTTTTCTTATACCAACAGAATTAAGAAACAGGAGCAAGGAACAGGAGGAGAAAAAAAATAGAGTTCAGTTCAATAAAATATGGGACAATTCATTAGTTAACTGTACAGGATGTACTAAATAAAATTAGGAACAAATAAGATTGTAACTTTCAGCTTAAAATTGTCTAGCCTCGCTGGCATTAAGTTTTCTTGATTTTTCTGCGTTTAAATAGTTTTTCCTCTTAGGCAGCAGATACCAAACGTGCGGCGTAAAATCACGGGGCTTCGTGGGTAATTTAAAAAAATTAATTTTTTGATCTTACAATTTTCATTCCAATAAGTCGATGATTGCGGTAAAGATGTGGTACATGAAGCTATTCTATTGTTTCAACATCTCGTTTCATAAATTTCATTCGGAATTTAAATTCTACAATTGAATAACATGGACTAAAATGTATGTATTGAACGTAACATATAATACGTCCCATTAATTAGGTATTTAATACGTCCATTAATTAGGATCCCCACTCTCGTCGTTGCTGCTCAACATAGCGCTAGACGAAACAATGTGGATCAAAAGTCACTCCGAGGGGTATATAATGGACTTCAGTAAGCCACCTGGAGGATTTGGAATACGTAGATGATATCGACCTTCTAGCCCGCTTACAATCAGACACGCAAGCAAAGTTGAATGAGCAGCACAGAAAGGCGGCTGAAGTCGATCTGAAAATTAACACAAGAAAAACCAAATCACTTCGAATAAACATAGCATATCCATCCAATACAGCATCCAAATGCCAGTTCAATACAACATGTCGACCAATTCAATTAGCTCGGCAGTATAATATCGACAACTGGTTGACCCCTCTGGTTGACATAGAAAACAGGTTGAATCTGGCTAAGGCGGCATTTAGCAGAATATGAGCTATCCGAAAACATCACATTTATCCAGAAATACAAAATTAAGAATTTTTAACACGTGCGTGAAATCAGTCCTGTTGTATGGCTGGCAAAAAGTAAATACACAGACAAAATACAGGTAATCCTAAGAACCCTACGAATCATTTGCCGTGTATTCTGTCCCAGACGAATAAATGACACAGAAGTTCTCGGCTTTAACACACAAATAACCTGTCGAAACAGTAATAAGAAAGAAGATGTGGAGATGGATAGGTCAAACATTGTGACGACCACCTGAAACAATTGCAAGGCAGGTATTGGAGTGGAACCCGCAATGGAGCAGAAGTGTTAAACGCCTGAAGAATACATGGCATATAACAATAAAGAAAGAAAACACAGTTCGTTGGAGAAGCTTTTGGGAAGTCCAATGTTCCCAAGGGGAGTAAAGCAGGAACAAAAAAAAATAATTTCAGAACTGCAAAGTTTATTACTCAATTTCCAAAAATGTTTAACTGAAAATTATTATAAATAATTTTTTTTTTAATATTCATTTATTTAACTTACGATTTCCATTTGAAAGTGGTTGAAGAGGTTTCGTTAATTGATTTAATACATTTTTTCTTTCATTTCGAATATTGCTATCGGTGGCCGAACTACTAACGCTATTGATGTAATTATAATATGAAGTAAATTCGTTGTTCGAGGGGCAATTATTAAAATGTCTTTTACGACTACTTTCAATATTTTTTGTAGTCCGCTCATTTATATGATTATTATTTGGAGATGATTTCTGATTATAAGTATAATTAGATTTATTATCATTATTATTCAAATTATTAAATTCCTTAGATGTTCCAATTTGAATGTCATCCATTGGTTCTTGTTTTATTTCATTAAATCTTTGTTGCTCAATAATCGAATAATTATTTTTTTCCTTCAATGACAGAATATTATTGTTATTTTCTTGTTGAATATTCTCATTATTAGAATGGATTAGATTATTATCAAAATTAATTGGAAAAAGATTATTATGAAATGGTGGTAATAGAGAGTTAGAATTTTTATCATTTAAATAATTTCTTGAATAGTTGGGAGCACACGGTGAACTATTTGAAATTCTTGTTAAATTGTTAGAATAAAAGCTTTTTTTATTGTCCACCTTACTATTGTAATTATTAGAATGAGAGAATATTGAATTATTAATTGATGTGGAATCATATTTTCTATTCTCTGAATATATTTTTGATATTGATGCTGGTAGAGGTTGTATAAAATTATCTAAATTTCTCTTTACTACCATTGATTCCATTTTTGTTTTTGATAATTTTTTTATTTTACTCTCAGATTCATTCAAATTATTGTTAGAATGTATTGAATCCTTCGAATTTATTATGTATGGTGATGGTAATGGTGAAATATAAGGCGTTGATGAATTAATTAAGGATGTATATGGATAGGAATTTGGTATAGATATTCTGTGAGAAGATGAATTTTGTGAATGTTGTATTATATCCAATGGTATTGATGATGATGATGAAGATGATGACGATGATGATGGTGATGATGATGAAGATGATGATAATAAAAGCTGTTGTTGAAGGAGAAATTTTCGTTGTTCTTTATGATAGTATTCTTGTTGTTGTTGTTGCTGTTGTTGTTGTTGAAAAAGTAAAAAATCATGTAATGTTGTTGATGATTTTGTGGAATCTAATTTTTGTTTTGATATCTCATTCAATGTTGTTAAATTATTTGTGATAGATGTATTTGTTAAAGATGGCATTAAAAGATATGGTTGTATCGATTGTAACATTAATGAAGCAGCAGCTGCTGCTGCTACTGCTGATGTAGATGATGTTATTGCTGATGTTGGTGTTGTTGTCGATGTTGTTATTATTTTTGATACCGCTGTACTTCTTGTTACTTTAGGATCTTTTATCATTAAAATATCATCATTATTATTAATATTAGAATCATTTATATCCGATGGGATTGATGTAGTTGTTTCATGTAATTTTGGAGAAGAAAGCTTTGAAATTTTATTAAATTGTGTTAATGACGATGATATTGATGTTACTGGTAATATTTGTTTAGAACTTGAATATAATTGAGATGATGATGATGTTAATGTTCGTATAGACGATAAATTTGTATTAGTTTCTGTCAATGGTGTCGTTTCATCAGAATACATATTAGTTGTAATAGCATTTAATGTATTCTTTGATGGTATTAATGAATTTATTTGATTCATTTTTGTTGATATTGATTCTGATGCTGATACTGTTGATGTTGATGATGTTGGTAATATGTGTAAATTATAATTTTCATGTTGATAATCACATTGTTTATTTTTAGTTAAGATTTTCGGAAATTTTAAGGAGTCTAATATCTCTTCACCATATGAGTTAGATAAATTCATGTTTTTTGTTTTTATTGTTGGTCTTTCATTTGATAATGAATTGGTTGAATAAAATGAAGACGGCGATGAAGATAGTAATAAGGGTGGAGGCGGTATTAATGATGGTGGTGGTAGAGAAGTTTGTTGTAATAGTGATGATGATTGCATTGATGGTGAAGAAGAATTTGATGATGATGAAGCTGATGATACTGATGATGATAAGGACGTCGACTCGTATAATATATTTTTATTATTTTCGATTTTTTTTTTCTTTTTCTTATCGAGAATTATTTGTTGTGTCTGGCTGGTTTCTTTTAATTTAAGCAGCTGATTGTCTTCATTTTCATATTCTTGTTTTGATTTTTGATTATTTTCTTCTTCTTTATGAATTTGTCCTTGATGACGATTTTGATATTTTTTCTTATTATTATTCTCATTTGATATTTCATATTCAATTTCATCTTTATTATAATTTATTTTATCTTTAAAGTTCACTGTTGAGGTTTTTGACATCTCTAAAGATGTTGGTAAAAATAGCATAGATTGTGATGATGATGGTAACCATGAATTTATATGAGACGACGATATAGTTGGATTTGGTAACCAAATATTAACTGAAATATAAGAAAATTATGAATTAATTATAATGAATGAAAAATATTTATGTACGTAGGTATGATTAAGATAATAAGAAAAATATTTGTTTTAATTATTATAAGAATTTCCCTTGAGATGAAAATATTTAATGCACATACATATATGTATGTATGTATGTATTTACTTAGTAAATATTTTATAAAAATATGTTGAATATTCATTGTATATATTCAATTAATAATTTTCTATTTATATGGATTCTATATTATAAAAAAATGTAAAGTGGCAAGCATGCGCATTTAATACTAATGGGGATTTGCATTTCTTTGTGAATAAATTTATATGGCAGAGTATAATGTAAATAAAGTATATAATATGCATATATATCTATAATGTTTGTATACTTTCATATTTACATACTTATGTATGCTAAATTTTTTCTTTTAGATTTTTGTTTTTGCTTTCTGAAGGATAATAAAATTGCAAGGATGCTAAAATCGATAATAAGTTCTTCAATTTATTAAAGGTGCATATAAAATTATAATATTTAAGTAAATTTCATTTTATGATGTGAGGAATGCATTTATTTAAAATTATTAGAATAATAGAAACTCATGATAGATTTCGGAACTGAACTCGAACAACAAGAATCTGGTTCGTGTTGTTCGGATTCAGTTTCGAATTCGTGTTTGGGTTCCGAGCGGGGTTTGAGTTTAAGGTCTAATTTGGGTGCGGATTCTGGTTTCGATAGTTGGGATATGAATTCGAGATTCGGGCTTCCAATCGGTTTGTGTACAGGATTTCTGTGTTCACATTCAGATTCGTAATTTTGATCAAAGCGGAATCAAGGTCCGCACTCAAAAACTTTCACTAACACATTACGGTTATTTTATCATTCTTTTTGATTTAACACCTGATGGAGTTCGGGTAGAATACAAAAATTCTTTATTGTTATATTCATTTTAAATTTTTTATCTTCTGCTGTTATTATAAAACCTTGAGCTTAAATTATTTTCATTATAAATTTTATTTTTTCCACATGTATATTTTAAATATGCATATGGACCGTCTTGTACATAACTTATAATTTATAAAATCATTAAGTAATCTTCAAATACCCTTTTTCATATCATCTTAATCAAGGAAATTGAAAGAATTTTTTTTTTGCAAAAATATTTCTTTTCCAACCCTTTAAATTACTTGAAATTATATTAAAAGCGTGCGATAAACTTGTGTAAATTTTAATAAAACATTACTGGCATTACTTGTATGGTAACACATACCTACAAATACATAATCATACATACATACGCGTGTCTATATTTATATATGAGTTAACGATGTCTATATCTTTCATAGTTAACAATTGAAATATACTGGTAACACATTAAGTTTAAGAAGAAAACCAATTCTATATCATTAAATTTGTTTTACCTTTCATCATTTTACAGGGTGTAGATATTTTTATGCATAATATATAAAATTCCAAAAATATAAATTAAAAAAGGGTTAAAGAAAGGGTTCAATATAGAAATTTGAAAGTAAAAGTTTATTCAAACAAAAAATAAAAAAAAAACGAAAATCCTTTGTTCTTTGAAGTCAAAAGAAATTTCCTGATTTTATTATAAAGGATATCTCATCCAATATCTCTTTACGTATATTCGCGTTTATACTTGCTGCCATATATACAAACATATATGTGTTAATGCGTATAATGAAAATCCTTTGATTATGATTGATTACAAATCATGAATGAATAAAAAAATGAAAATTCTTTTTTTTTCTTTTTGTCGTACGCAATAAAACAAATCGGTAAAAAATTAAAGACCAAACAATGGTTGATTTCATCCCTTTTAACATGATCCTTTTATATTGTTATATAAAAGTGGGTTTGTACAATATCTATAATATGCAATATTGTGTTAAAGAGGGGATTGTAATGGGTTTAATGTACCTATATACGTTTCATGTATTACAAGTAATTTGCTTAATGAATTATTCTTTTATTTTGCATATCAAAAAAAAAAAAATTTTATAAAAATTTCAAAAGGGTTCATTTGAAATTTTGTTTATTTTATAGTTATTTTAAAAAATGGCGAATTTTAAAATTTGAAATATGGATTCTACGTAACAATAAGTAAATAGTTTTAAAAAATGTCGGTATTATCTGTCGTATACGAATACGACATCGAATACAAATTATCGTATACGAATACGACATTTTTCAAGTTCTTGTAATTGAGATTATAACAGAAATCCCGCTACATTCAAGTACTTTCATGTAAAGAAACCCAAATATTTGGTTTTTTACGATTAACTAACCATAAGTGAACGCAGTAGATGTGAAATTATTTTTGCGGAATTGAAAACCCAATATATGCGGTAATTATGCGTTTTAAGAAATAGACGTCTTTGAGACAATCTGGAACACACACTCGATCATATCAAAACTTAACAATCTATTAAAGTACATATAATATGTCTGTGAATCATTCTGTGAAAAGTCTTCATATATTAGCAGCCCAAACACATATTTATAAATTTTGAAACAATGGCATGGAGAATTTCACTTATATAATATTTGATACTTGTTGTTTCACTTGGAATAGTATTGCTATACAACTGAAAGAACGGCTACAGTTTTATTAGAAATTCAGGATATAAGGCACCTGCATACGATGGATTCAAATCTGTAGTTTCTTATATTAAATTCCAAAATGAATGAAGTACTTTGTTGAACAAATTTCTCCAATATCAACATATTGTAAATATGCTAAATAAGTCATATTTTGAGATTTTTAACAAAAACTTAATTAAAATTTTATTTCCTGGTATATATTTGCAATTTTGAAGAGAATTCTTTAATTTCCTCAAAATCATTTACTAACACAATAATGAGCAATTCCATATTTGTAGTTAGTATAGGTAAATTTTAATATTTCCATGACTAGACATTTCATTCGCTTCTGCCCGACAGTACAAATTTGAAAGTATAGTGTTATAACAAATAATAATTTAAATTTATTAAGTAGTCTAATGAAATTTCAATAGAAAACTACTTTCAGCTACCTTAAATCGATAAAATCGAAGTGAATAATACTATTTTTATAAATTATAATCTTCCAAATTTAGAAAATAATCTCAATTCAAAATTTTATATTGGATTATTCTATACATTGGCAAGGTATAGGAAACAAAAGATTTTATAATGAAAAATCATTTTTTACTAATTTTAAATTTGATTTTTTTTTTTATATATTTGGAAAATTCAGGAACTAAAATATTAATAATGTTAAAAAATTTTATATTATTTTCTTTGTCGAATTAAATTTATGTTTAAAATTATTATTCAACTTAATTTTGAGTTATTGTTCTATGAATATTTAAATTAGAATTAGATAAAATCTATTTTGGCTTTCAATGATAATGAGCAATGAACTTGAAAGAATAAGAAAAATTGTATTCTATTTTAATTGTTAGAATAATTAATCATGGTCATACTTATAATTTAATTCCGAATTAAATATTTCAATCTCGATTTTAGACAGAATAGTGACATTATTTTACAAAGATTCTAATGTAATGCGGCGAAGCGGAACTCGACTTCACATAAAATCGTGACATTATACGATAGTTGAATTTGATAATTCAAATACTCCGAATTCACATTGGAAAAAAATTTTTTAGAACTAATAAATTTTTGTTGAAACTGGAGCGCAAAAAAACAAAATATATAAAATATTTGAAAAATATATTTTTTAGACACCGAAATTTTGCGATATTTTCAAAACTTGTCAATATCAAAAACTTCCAGGCTGTAATTAATCGTAAAAATTTACTGATATATTTTTTTTCATTAATCGATATTAAACTGAAAGTTATGATCTTACCATTAAGATTATATTTTAAAATGAATACTTTTTATTTTAAAATAAAGGTTTATTAAAGAATTTTAATTACCCATTCTTATATCTTTCATGTAAAGATTCGGAATTAAAAGTACAATGTCAAAGTTTATATTTTATTTAGTGAAATAGTATAGATTATATACTAAAACATAGTAGTATATTGAAATCTTACTGTTGATACGAGTATATACACTCTAATAATTTATAATAACAATAATAATAATAATTAAATTTTTATAATTAATTGTTTTACTGCTTCTTTTCAAAATTTTCCCATTTATATTTGTGATATCATCACGTCCGGCCACCTTGTATACACTAAACATGTAATTAAGTTACAACAAAATTTTGTTAGTTTTTCTCAAGCTTCTTACTGTGTATGTGTATATATATTTTATATATATTATGTGGCAGTATATTAGTATCTTTAATACTAGATCTTTATAAAACATTTTAGATATGAAAGAAAATATAAAAATTCAATGTCAATAATTAAATTATTTTTCTTAAAATTTTTTTTATTTTTTAAGATAATAAACATTTAGTAATATATGGACAAACATGCATTTTATATAAAATAGCCCATAGATATAGAGTTTAAAAAAACAAAAAAAAAAAAACAAATTAATTGTTATTTTAACCTTTTGCAAACAAAAAATAGAAATTAGTTCAAAAAATTTCAATGGAAGCTGTTTGATCTTATAATTTTGAAAATCATTACAATAATCAAAATTTAATAAATTTCTTTAATATTGTTTATAATGGCTACCTAATAAAATTACTTTTAATATGCTTCTAGAATTGTTTTTCGGAATTTTATATTGATTAATAGTTATATTAATTAATAGTCCGATTATTTTAGTTTTATTCACCAAATTCTTTAATATTATTTTGATTTTTTATGCAAATTTTTTTCCATATTGATTTAAAAATTTGTTTAAACAACTCCGAATTTTTACTCCGAAAAATTTTTCCGAATAATGTATTCCGAATTTACTCCGAAAATGTAAAATAAATGTTTGTGTATTAAAAAACATATAATTCATAAAAAATTCAAAATCAAAATAATTATGAAGCAAAAATTCGTAATTCTGCAACACGAATAAAAATTACCTAAAATTTTATGCAATCTTAAAGTATTGAAGAATAACTTTGTTTTATTACCGGCATTATTAAATACCAAAAAAAAAAAGAAAAGAAATTAAAAGTGATTGATTTAAACATTGAACTTCTTATAGTGAAACACGATAAAATAAACCGGGTCTTCAAAATAAGAATATTGTAAGAGAAAAAAAAAAAACACAAAAAATCATAATTAAATCTGATATTTATTTTAATTTATTTTCGGCTTCCCGTGTATCCGAGAGAGGTGTTTTAAGCTAATTAATTTTATATTATGCACTGTGTGCCATATGTAATAGCAAAAATAACATTAATAATATTTTTGAAATATGTGTAAGCGTTTCTGTGTGTATATATATTTGTGTTTATGACTACATTTAGTTTTTTATAACAATTATTTAAAAATTATTGCTATGTTGATTTGCCATATTAAAGTTGTATGACGATTATTAGTTTTTTTCTTTTCTAATTGCCCATGTTTTGTTACATATTTTTATAAATTTGAGAATTATGTTATACCTACACATATTATACTCGTATGTGCATATATATATATACTAAATAGAAATTATATCCGATATAAAGAATATTTTTATTTTAGGATTGTAGAAATAATCTAAGGTTAAATTTGTATTAAATTTTGATTATAAAGGAAATAAAATTTTTTTGTATTATACACAAAAAAAAAATATACATATAGTAAATTTTGAATTTTTTTTCTCTTTAAGTTGTGAATTCGGCAGTCTTGTTTTTTTTTTTAAATGTGCAAACTATTAATAAATTATAGTTAAAATTGTTACTAATAAAAATTTGATACTGGATGAGTGTTAATTATTCAAATCATAGTGAATGGTTTTCAATTCAATTAATAAATTAACGTTACTTCAAATCTTGGATGTCACTTATGACATTTTATGTGACAAATATGTCAAATTCAATTATGAATTGTCAATTATTGTATGTTGTAGAATATGTTGTTGCCAAAATTAAAGCTTAACAGTTCGTATGATAAAAATTTGTGAAATCAATATTCGCCCGGTTAGGAATGTTGATAAGTAATAAAAATTGGTAAATAAGGGGAAAAAAAAACAAAAGACAACATACATTCATAATACGAATAGTTGATTTGTCTACTATTTGCCACAATTTTTTAAATAGTATATGAAATTAGAGAATTTGTAGGAATTCGAAATAATTCTAGGCTTTTTGTTTTTTTGTTAAAGAAAATTCATAATCAAAATTGAAATTTTTTGTTTAACAAAAGCGAAAGTGTTATATTGTATATGAGGCTATGTAACGTATGTATAAGTATAAATATATGTGTTATACATGTTATATTTTTATATTTTTAACGATTTTGTAGTATTCTTTGTTTATTTTATGTGTTTTTTTTTGTTTTTGTCATTTTTAAAGAAATTCTTTGTTCTTTTGGTTTCTGTTTTGTTTTTTTTATTAGATATTTAATATTGTGTATAAATTTTAATTTATAAAATATTCAAATAAATAAAAAATGTTTGTTATAAAAATACTGATGATATCAAATACGGATTATTTTATTAAACATGTTTTAAAAAAAAATTAATAAATATATATATACATATGTATATATTTAAAATAGATGCTTTCTGATTTTAATTTTTTTTAATTCTTTTGATATCAGGTCTTTGAGTGGATTATGATGGAAGAAGATTGCCGGTTATTACTAAATTTTTTTAATGTCTTTGTTTTATTTCAAAAATTTTTTTTTATTATATTATTAGATTTCTTATGTTTTTATACTTTAGTTTTCATTATAAAATTTATATAGTTATATACCTGTGTAAATATAATATGATATATAAGATTTTTATACAATTTTTTATAGCCTGTTAATTTTTGGTTTTTTTTTAATTCTAAACATTAAGAAGCAATAGAAATAAACCACACTCTATAGCTACCCCTACTAACTACACTCTATTTTTAAAAATCATACATATTATGTTGGACATTAAGTAGCCTATAGCTTTATGTAGATATATACCAGGTTTATATACTTATATATCTACCAAGTGTGTTGTCATTAACTATAGAGCCTACAATATTATAAGAAAATTTATTGTTATAGTATATCAATCAAAATTTAATAATAAACATAAAATATTATTATTACATATATATAAAAATAAAAGTATGTAAAAATTTAATTTAAGTATCATGTATATTATAGTTTTAAAGAAAAATTTTGGCGCCTAAAAATCAAGGTCATAAAATTAATATTAGTTTATGTTGTGTTTATTAATGGCTAGAATACCTTTATAATATAACATTTACCATTTATAAGAATTTCTGTTTTTACTATTATTTAGGCATTAAATCATTATCTAAAAAAAAAAATTTAAATAAAAAATTAAAATAAAAATTAATATTCATTAAAAGAATTTTTTTTTTATGTAATTGTAAAGTATTTATACATATGTATATGTGCTTGTATATGATTATGTTTGTGTATATAACAATGATTATGTAATATGTAAATTATCTTTTACTCAAGCCCATAAATATAATAAATTAATTTTGTTGGACTTGTTCAGTTTTTGCTGTTAAATTTTATTTGAGAAATTTATTTATTTATAATAAAATTACCGTAAATTGTCTAATTGTTATTATCAGTCTCAAATTTGGCAATATGGATTCAAATAGTTGCTAGAAGAAAGTTCTTAAATTTATAATTTATTCAAGTATTTAGTTTGTTATTTTAAACTAGATTTAGAATTCTAAATGAAGAAATTTTTAATAGTACATATTTTAATTTGAGTACGTACATACAGTGACATCCAAAATGTGCAGTGAAAAAATTTTTGCTACAGTTTAACTGCAGTGTTACGATCATAGTAAAATTTTAAAAAAGACTGTATATATTGTAAAAAAAATGCAAAGTAGTTTAAATATTTTGGATCACTGTATCGGCAGTTGAAAACAAATAGATGTGAAATTAACTAATTTTGTTTCCAAGGATTTCCAAAAACATATTGGCTAGTTATATTGAAATATTTAATCTGACAAGAAAATGCTAAAAAAATTGTTTGGCCTGATAAAATTTTTTATTGAATAATTTTGGCAATACTGTTTTTGACATTTATGTATTAAAAAGTAGTATTTCTTTGCTACACTTTTTTTTGTTACTGCGTTGTTGAAGCCCATTGTTAGCAATACGAAACTTGCTACATTGTATAAATTTTTTATTCTACAGTATGAATCACAGATACAATGTAGTACTACATTAATATGTACCCCTAAATATCCCTGACATTTTGGATGTGAGTGATATTTAGTAGTATTTCAAGAAATGAAAACTGGTACAAGACGTTTAATGATCAATGCGTGGATATTTTATGATATTTTCGTGGCCATACTTAGGGCAATAGAAAAATTATTAATTGAATTATTAAATTTATCAAATTTTTTTTATTTATTTAGTGATAATATTGTTAACTGTCATTGCATTTATACAATAGGTTGTCAATTATTATAAAATAATTCAATATTAATTATTTAATCTCAAAATTAATAAGAGAGAGAAAAATTTTGATAACTTAATTAATCAATTAAATTTAATTATAACCATAATCAAATTAAGTTTGTTTGCACATTAATCTCTTGTTTTGTACTAAACACCTATACCCTATTATAGAAGGTTCATTTGTTATAGCCGAAAAAGAGTTGTAACTTAATTTAATACTCAAGTTTATTTGTTTCATTTAAATTTGCAATGTTTGGATGGGAGGTTTTTGGAAGACACAATGGCTTTGAAATTTTTGTTTAAATCCGATTCTCGTATAAGTCAGTGTTCTGCCCGAAATAAGAATAATGTAAGATGTTATTATAGATTTTATAGAAAATTTAAGAAATCTATTTCATCTCTTTTTTATAAATGCTTTAATTTTGTTTCCAACATTGGAATTTTTCATATTTTCGATACATTTCATTTTTTTTTAATGAAAAATCGAAATTCTATTGTTTCAGTATAAGCTTATTGTTTTGTTAATTATAATCCCCAAAATGCACTGATTATTTCAATGTTAATCTTTGATTTTTAAAATTCTCTTTATGGTAGTTGACCATCACTGCACAGTATATTTAAATAAAGATATTCCATTTTTGCTTCATCAATCATAATGGGATAGTCTTTGCTGATAGTCTGTTCAGTATAAATGAATTTTATAGTTAATTGATGAAAATAAGAAGAAAATAAATTTTGTTTAAAATTTGATTCTATTATATTTACAATAAATTTTTTTTTAGTTACAATTTTTTGGAATTCGTTACTTTTTTTTTTTACATTTTACATAAACATATATAATATATACATATATACAAGTATTATTATTTTATATCTCATTTGAATCACATTGATTATCAATGTGTTTTTTCAAGAGACTGTCATTTGGTATTTAAAATGGAACTAAATAAAACGTAGTCAGATTTAAATCAGTTATCTAATGTCTGTAACGTCTGTAGGCTTTTTTGACAGCACGGTAACGGTATCCATCATTGTGTAATTGACCTTGAGATTCAATGGCAACTGGAGCTGGTGCTGGAGCTGGAGCATGGTGTACTGGAGCTGGAGCATGATGTACTGGTGCTGGAGCATGATGTACTGGAGCTGGAGCATGATGTACTGGTGCTGGAGCTGGGGCTGGAGCTGCAGGTGGTAAGTATTCTTGTTGTGGTGCTGCTACTGGAGCTGCGGCATGATGTACTGGAGCTGGGGCAGCATGATGTACTGGTGCTGGGGCATGGTGTACTGGAGCTGGAGCATGATGTACTGGAGCTGGAGCATGGTGTACTGGTGCTGGGGCATGATGTACTGGAGCTGGAGCATGGTGTACTGGTGCTGGAGCTGGGGCATGATGTACTACTGGTGCTGGTGCTGGGGCTGATGCTGCTGGTGGTAAATATTCTTGTTGTGGTGGTGGTGGTGGTGGAGGTGGTGCAGAGTGTACTGGTGGTGGTGGTGGTGGTGCTGGTGCTGGTGGAGCTGGTGGATGATAATCATATTGAGCTGATGCTACAGCTAATGTGGCAAGTGCGACCAAGATGAATTTCTATAAAATATAAAAATGTTCACGTTATTTCAAATGTACGTATGAAAGTATCCTTTAAGCCTTTAAGGCGGTGATAATAATAATCCATGTTTTTGTATATAAAATGGTGTTTAAAAGTTAAGAAAAATCTTAATTACCATTTTAGATTTCTTTTGGTTTTTTGTTTTTTGTTAAAGTGTTTACTAAAGCTCAGAGCGCTAGAAACTGATGTCAAAACGTTAGAATTATTTGGTATTTATACCCAAAAAGTAACTTCTTTTTAATTTAAAATTAAAATATAAAAATCATAAAAAATAATGAATTCACTTAAAGCGTAGCTGGTGTAACTTATGTTTTCTTAATTGTTTTTATTTTTTCGTTTTGTTTTTGTTTTAATTTTGGTTTTTATCTCGTTTTTCATATAGGCAGACTTACTAAATTCAAATTTTTTTTTAATATATTCCATTCTATTGCCGGTTAAATATATTGGAAGATCTTAAAATACTTCATTAATATTTAAAGAGTTTTTTTATTTTATTTTATTTCTTATTTGAATTTAAGTTTTCTTATTAAATTTCTGTTAAATCATAATAAAGCAGAATGACAAATAGCAACAAATAAGAAAATTTTCATATTTAACTGGTCTGAAAAGAAGTATTAAAAATTTTTTTTAATTTCTGTATAGATTTTGATCACAAAAATTTAAAATTAATTTTATAAATTAATTTCAACTAAATCAATAAAAAAATTATATGATTAACATTTCAATATCCTCCTTAATTTAGTATATAATTTGAATAAAGAATAATAATGATGCTAAATAACTAATGCAGAATTTTTACTTGCTTGGTATTCAATTGTTGGTATAAGTTAATTAAAGAGGCAGCAAATTTAAATTCTTGTACGAAAAAATTAGAACTATTGAAATTTCCCAATTTAGAATTAATTTTTTTTTTTTTCAATTTAAAATTAATTTGATTGCTTATGAGTATGCTTATGTAAGATGCAAACTGCCCTGCAATTAAATTGATTCTTACATCTGCATTAAGGCATTCGAACGTAAAATATAGTAACATATGCAGATGTTTAATTTTCAATGCAAATTATGAATTGTTCAGGGTTTAATATCAAAGAAATTTGATGATTTTGATGAAGATGTAGTGGTTTTGTTAAGAAAACAAGAGTTATTAAAAATTCGGTTTTCCGCGATAATTCAAGCATAGAAAACTAAAAAGTGTGCATTTTTAGGAGTTGTGTAAGTCACATATAGGGAAAATATTTTGAATTTTTTATTTTACTTCCTATTCGATTTCCATCATAGATATTTTTCTTTTCAACCCAACTCAAAATTATTGTGTAAATCTTAATTTAAAATATCTTGCACGCCACTGCAATTTTCTTGGTCTCTTTTCATTTTTTGCTTAACTTCTTATGTTAAAATAAAATTTCTTATATTAAAATTTTACACTTGAAAAACATGTGCTCTTTTGTTTCCAAACTTCTTATTTTTTTCTTTCGACTAGCTTTTCTCCTGGTATACAACAGATTTTGTTCCTAATTTTTTATTAGGTACAAGAAAAATGCTCTTTCAAAAGTGCTTCCTTTTTAATGGGTTCTTAAAGAGTTAAAAAAACTTTTTCCAAAATAAAATACAATTATTTTTTTTTTCTCGACTATATACACATAGAACATTCATATTTATTTTATTTTTAACTGAAATCACATTAATTATGAATTTATAATGATATGACAGTCATAAATTTGGCGTATTCATTATTAAACATAAACAAAAAAAATTTACAAAGTCAGTTTCCTAGTGTCTGTAACGTCTTACTTTTTTGACAGCACGATAATGATAACCATCTTCGAATAATTGTCCTTGACCATCACCACCTGAGAATCCACCGCTTGAGGCACCACCACTGAATCCAGCTGAGCTACCACCGAAACTTCCGCTTGAAACACCACCACCGAATCCACCGCTTGATACACCACCACCGAATCCGGAACTACCACCACCGAAACCGCCGCTAAATCCACCGCTTGAATGGCTTACAGCTGGTGCTGAATAGTGAACTGCTGGTGCTGGTGCTGGGGCATGATATACTGGAGCTGGTGCTGGAGCATGATGAACAACTGGTGCTGGGGCATGGTATACTGGTGCTGGGGCTGGTGCTCTATGTACTACTGGTGCTGATGCAGCAGGTGGTAAATATTCTTGTGATGGTGCACGATGTACAACTGGAGCTGGTGCTGGTGCATGATATACTGGAGCTGGAGCATGATGTACTACTGGTGCTGGTGCTCTATGTACAACTGGTGCTGGGGCATGATGTACAACTGGTGCTGGAGCATGATAAACTGGAGCAGGTGCTGGGGCATGGTATACTGGTGCGGGAGCTGGTGCTCTATGTACAACTGGTGCTGGTGCTCTGTGTACAACTGGTGCTGGAGCATGATATACTGGGGCAGGTGCTGGAGCTGATTGTGCTGGTGGTAAATATTCAGCAGATGGAGCAGGAGCATGATAAACTGGAGCTGAGGCAGTAGCTACAGGTGCTGGTGGATGATAATCATATTGGGCAGATGCAACAGCAAGTGTTGCTAATGCTACTATTATAAATTTCTATATAAAAAATAGAAAGAAATACATGTATAATATCCAATATTAAAAGAATAATCCTTGAATTTTTGAATTTTTTTGTTTAAACTATAATAATTTAATCCTTTTCTTGTTTTTTGTCTAATTACCATTTTGTGTTTTTTGTATGTTGTTTACTAAAGCTCAGAACGCTAGAAACTGATATCTAATTCATAGGATCATTTCATATTTATACCCAAATGCATTTTTTTTTTGTGTGAAAGAAAATAAAAAGAATAATAAATAAAATAAATCCAAGAAACAATAATTCATATAAATTATAGTGATAGTTATTGATATAATTATATATATATATATATATATATAGATAAATTGATTAAATGGTTAATAAAAAGCTGGATTCTTCTCATTTATTGGCTATGAGATTTTTTTTTCTTTATTAAAAATGCTTTTGTGCTTTTTCGTTTTTGTTATGGTTCTGTTTTATTTTGACAATATTTATTGCATAGTGCTAAAAATAAAAAGAAAAGAAGAAGAAGAAGAAGACAAAAATAATTCACAATGGTTAAAATTAACTTTGAATTAATAATAAAATGGACACTTTATAACTAATCACCGGACACCGGATCACTTTCGCACTATTTTTTTAACTAACATTTTTAATTTTTCCTTGTATTCAATTTATATTTATTATGATTATTTTTAATGCCCAAAAACTGTAAAATTTTATTTTTTTTTAACTAACATAACATTATTTTTATATTTTTTTATGTTATTTTTGTGTATTTTTGTATGACAGAAAAATAATTGATATTGATTTGTGGCTTTTTTCTCACGCTATGATTTTTTTTTTTGTATTTATTTTTTAAATTGTTCTAACTTTAAAATTTTTTGGTAAAAAGAAATTTTAGTCTTTATTAGCATTTTATAAAGTGTTGTTGTAAGATAATTTTTAATCGGATATATTTCTTTTTTTATAAATAATTAAATAAAGCTTGAAAATTTAAATATTGTGGCGCCATCATTAAAAATTCAATAAATTAGTAGAGAAAATTTCAATTGTTTGTATATACTAGTACGATTTCGAATAATTTAGTGATGTCCTTACAAAAAAAATTCAGTTTAATTTTTTGAATATTTTAATTTGAAAAGTAAATTTCTTATTAAATAAATTCAAATCTAAATTAAGTAATTTCTCTTATATCTATATTGAAATTAAATTTTTACATAAATTTGAACAATTCGGAAAATATTTGAACAAATATTTTTAATTATTTATTATATTTTCAAAATATTTTTATATAATTTTCAAAATATTAAAATAATTATAATTTATTTAATTAATTTTAAAGTCAAAATATCATTTTATTATTAAATATTAAATATAAATATAAATTTTGCACTGATCCTTTAATATTAAATATAATTTTTTTCTCAATTTTAAATACAAGTTTAATGTATATATATATATATGAAATTATGCTTCGTATAAATAAAATATTAAGATAATTAAGGTTTTTTTTATTATCATAATTAACACATTTATTATCTTCCACAAATATAATAAATTCATCCATTATGTTCTAAGTTTATCTTTTATTTTTGAATTATTAAATATTAAATTTATTTTAATTCAGGTTTATAGTTTTTCATTCAAAATATAGCGGTATCTATTAAATTAATAGCCTTCTTTTAATAACAAGTATTAAATAATACGCAATGATCATAAAATGAATATAATAAAAAAAAATTTTGAATTTTTTAATATTTTAAATGTTTAAATAATTTTTGTTTTTCCAATATTTTTCAAAATTCTATTTCTAATCGAATAATTCTAATTTTGATTGCATATTTCTGTATTCAATATAAATATTTTGGTATTCTTGTTTTCATAATTGCGTTAACAATATTATTAATATTTAAATATTATTATTAAATTGGAATTATGAAAGTTATATTTAATATAAACTATTCACAGTAATTTATGGTTCTAACAATTAAATTATTTGTTTTTGAAAAATTTTAATTATTTGATTTAAATAATTAGCTGACAAGGCTCAAAATAATTATTTCTATATCAGTTATTAAAATTCAAAATAATTATTAAATATAATATTAAACTAAATTTCTATTTCAAATTATTTTAAGTGATTCTCATGAAATATACCTACTTACTATTTTTGATTAGTTTCATTAACATTTTAAAGAGTAAAAATAATCAGAATATTATATTGAGTATGATGACAGATGACAATGATAATTTAGAAAACCTTTTAATAAAGAGAAATTCACAATATAATAATAGCACAATATAATTTTAAATTAAGTATAAACCATATAAATTTAATTATATTTATGAAAATTTTTTAGAATTATTATAAAAATTCTTAGATTTATAAAAATTACTAAAAATGTTCTTTAATGTTAATTTGCATTTACTAAATTTGATTACAATACTCCAATGAATGCTAATGACAAATAGAATTGATAGCAAAAAATTACTCATATGTAAATTAGAAAGCGTCACCTGTTTGCGAAAAATTGCATTTAATAAGTATTTTTTCTCTTCATATACTATTATGCAATTATAATATTTAAAGTCAATATTGAATTAAAATTTTAATATTGAAAAATTAAAACGCGTTTTGTGAAATTTTTGAATAAATTTTATAAAAAAAATAAAGGCATATTTTAATAAAATGACATTTTTTATTAACAGAACATGACATTAAATAATTATAAAAAATATAAAATTTATAAAAAAATAAAAATGAATCATAGTTTTTTTTTTGTTTTATTGGTTTTTGTTCCGTATTTCCTCTTAAATTTAATATTGAATTTTTGACAACATTTTACTTTCAATTTATTGATGTAGATTTTTCAAGTTTTTTAATAAATTTTTTAATTTTTTTTTTCGAACATGTACGTTTTAAAAATCAAATTTACATAATATTTTCAATTCAAGATTTTGATTAATATTTTTTTTTTTTAAATTTTATACTATACGAAACGAGTATAAAAAATGTTAATTTTTTTTTTAATTTTGAAATATCACTTTCGTTTTCCAGTATAATAATTATATAACATGTGTGTGCCTAAAAATTTACAATGGCTATTGACATAAAAATAAATTATGCTAGTTCTTATTGTAAAGAATTTTATGTTTTTGTTTTAAAAATTTGATAAATTATCTAGAAATTTATGCTTGTTTAACCTGTAACAATAACAATAAAATGAAATTTTTGATTTACGATATGAAAAAAAATTTTTTTTTTATTAATAACTTTAAAATTTTAAAAATAAATTATACATATTCAAACTTATAATGAAAAATATTATTAATTATTCATCTTGCATAAAATATATTTTAATATTTTTTTACTAAATTATTCATTATAATTAGAATATGTAAATAAATAATAGTTTTTGTTTTTAATTTTTTAATATTTAAATTAAGAATATTCAGTGAGAATTATAAAAGTTTTTGTTATATAAGAGATGTGATAAAACTTATCAATATTTATATAATTATTTGTTATTATACATTGTCTTATGAATAATTATTAATAAATTATATAAAATTATATCTGTATAGTTTTCATTAAAAACACCTAAACTAAATCAAATATCAAGTAAATGTCTCGAATTTTCTGGCAATTACGGAAAAATATTTTGAAATACTTGACATGGCGTTCACACTATATAAATAATTTTCACATTAAATAGTAATTTTAACCCTAATTTAACTCAAATGGTATATTGTAACAATGGCCTACTATTATTTTAGTTACTAAGAATTTTACTCTTTAACAAAATCGGTAGATATTCAATGTGTGACGGAAAAACTAATTAATAAAAAGAAAACCAAATTTTGTTGTCATACGCAGGTGATGGCAGTTTATGAACCGTATGTAATAAAATTAGAATATAATAAAAATGAACCGCAAATTGTAATAAAATTAGAATTTATTTTTAATAAAGTTGGATTTTAATAATTTTTTTATTTTTTTTTAAATTAAATTAAAATATGAATTATATAATGACAAATGAATACTTTAATAAACAAGAAATGCTTAAAAAATATAAATTTTTCACAATGATTTTATTAAGATTTCAAAAATTCAAATAAAGGGGACGCCACTGAAATTTGTATTAAATGTCATTTATATTTCGTATACAAAAATTAATATAAACTTGTTTGCAAATTTATATTAATAATCGCATAGTATTAATTATTATTAGAAAAAAAAATATATTTAATTATCTTAAATATTATAATTATTATAAATCTTTTGAACCAGTTTGTTTATAAAATTAATTATTTGCTATTTTAATTTTTAAATATTTTTGCAAAAATATATTCTGTATAATATTTTTTTTTTTTGTTTCTATGCAAAATAATTTAACTCATATTTTTCTTATTAAATAAACATTTTTAATCAATGAACTCATAAAATATTTAAAATATTACAAATATTTGTATAAAATTTTCATGAATGTGAAGTTTAATATATTGTACGATACTTTAAGAAAATTACATGATAAGTGTTACTTAAAAGTTCTATGAAAAATTCTAGGTACAAGCTATGTGAACGAATTACCAGAAGGCTACAAGATAACTATCATAAACAAGACATTCGGTAGAGAGTTAACCTGGATGGTTTCAGAATTAAGAGCAGGGTGTATTGAAAAATGATAATAATGAAATTTAAAGAAATGGAGAGGAATTCCTTTTAAATTTGGGATTTAGATCATCAATATTCAAATATTGTTTTAGGTACTAATTGCCATAAAAATTCATTAATTTTATGTCATTATATATACGTATCGAACGTGACTCGTGTATTTTTTCTGTGATTCCGTTTAAATTTGATAGGGGTGTGTAAACAGCCGCATATTGTTTCTTATGAAAAAACTAGATCGTCATTGAATCTTTTTGGTCATAATCCGTGAACAATATTTTTTGTTGTCTCAACTGTATTTTCTTTAACAAAATATTGTTTAACCGGAGAAGTATATAATTAAAAATGTTAAAAAAATGTTTTTTTTTTTGTATAAAATCACCGTCCGATCAAATTACCCGCCATTTATAATTTAAATTACCGTTCTTATTCTATTATATAATATTTTTTGATTTTAAATTTAATTAAGTTCTAACAAAAAAAAAAAAATTTGTGTTTTTTTTTTTTTAATATTTAATTTTATTTTTTTAAATGACAGTAGATATAATTTAATTAACCATCCAAATTTTTTAAAATCAAGAATGGCAAAAAATAATTTTTTGTATTTTGGTTTTGAATTTTTTGTTTTTTGTGCAAAAATGAAAGTAAAAATAAATTTATTATAAAATCTTTAATTAATTAATTCCTCTTTTTTTTTCAAAACCGTAAATAAAATTTTTAGTCATCACCTAAACTCAAATTCGGAAAAAAATAATTTAAATAAATAATGAATGCTTTAGAAAAAGAACAACTTATCAGCAGCTATTAATTAAATTTTTGTGGGAAAAAATTAATACAAAAAGGTTATAACAATTAATAAAAAAAAAAGACAATAAGAAAATTTTAAATACAAATTTTAGAAAGAAGTGATTTTAGATCAAAAACTTTTCTTATTTACTTAAAAATTAAAAAAAAAAAGGTTAAAAATAATTTCTATAATAATAATCAAAAAGCATTGATGTGCTAAATTTGAATTTTCGTTTGCGACTCAATTTAAACAATGCCATTTTATGGATAAGGGACAGAAAAATTTCAATCATATTGAAGATTATTATAAAAATGAGGGGCTGCATTGAAATACTTTAAGAACTTCAATATTTCCAAAATATCGTTCGGAAATCGGAATTGCTGACTTCGTTTTATTCGGAGTTATTCGGAATTCGAAAAACCAATTAAAATGTATTTCGTTTATCACATTCATTTTTCTAGGATTGAATTATTCAAATTTTGCTACTGTTGCCTAAAGATTTTGCCTTCATTCTACGAAAACTGTGTCGTTTCAAAAATTAGTATCTATTTATTCCGGATGAAGTCAATTATTTTCATATACTCGGAATTGCAAAAGCTTATTTGTTTTATTTTGAATAGCGAAATTTTGTCTTCATTTGGAAATTTAATCTTCATTTATAATGATTTCAATACGAGTGTGTTAGTAGAAATACCGTGCATAATGTGAGAATTTTTAATTCAGAAATGTTTATAGAACAACCAGTTGCAAAGTTTTAAATGAAAATTTCAAACATTTCAAATTTTTTTTCACGATTTATAAAATTTTAATCGGCACATATGCTTCCTAAAAGTCAAATCTGTTCTATCAAATCGATTTCCTGTAATTTTTCCTTATGGTTCAAGTTTTTTTATGTATAATTTACCCGGAATCGTAATTCCGTTTCAAATTGACTAATCTATTGCACTTCCATGATATAAACGTGAATTTATCTATTGATTTATTAATAAAGTCTAAATATCAATAAAATAAATGACTAAATGTCAATTATTGCAATTCATTTAACAAGTTTTCATACATACTTCTTAAGTTCAATCATGAATTAAAACGTGTTAAATTTTGTATTAACTTTTTATTAAATAATTTTTAAATATTTAATAAATAAATTTTATTTTGAATTCAAACTCAAATGTACACATAATATCAAATATGTTATAAAATAAACTTTTTTCTATTCATTAATTTTTGTAATAATTTTGTTTAATATGACCTCATTCTAGTACGTCATCGTAAAAATCTTGTTTTACAACAAAATCCAAAGATACAAAAAAATGGCAAATGTAATTTATTAAAGAAAAACGTGTGTTTTTACAAAGTAAAAAGCCAAAAATCTAATAATAAAATTTAAATTTTTTTTTTTTTAATTTTATTTACTACTCAATTCGCCGGTTTATACAATTTGAATGGCGTTTTGTTGTAGGGAAACAATACCCAATACCTATATACTAATATATTATACATAATGCCTAATACACTATATTGATAAACTATAAATTAAACATTAAAAACTGGTTATATGTGTGTATGTACATATGTATTGTATATAAGTTGAATAAGAATAAAGAAGACCAACCGGCGTCTTAAAATTTGAAAACAAAAATCGAAAAGAAAAGTGAAGCTTTTAATGTTAAAAAAAAATTTACGATGGTAATCATGCTAATGATTTGAGATTTTGTTAAGAATTAAATGAAGAGTTCAAAAATATAAAAAAGAAGAGCAGAAAAAAGAAGCTTGATCAAAACTTTCTTATGTAAAAGCATAAAAAACATACTTGCAAACAAATTAAGTATTCCTTGAAATTACTTTTCTAATTTGTTGGAATTTGAACTAATGTTTTCATATTTTTAGTTCCATGTTGGAAGTCATCCGTTTTCAATTGATGTGGGAGTTTTTTGGAATAGTGGCCATAGCATGGTGTCATATGTTTTAAGCGTTCTAATTATGAACAGATTGGATCACAAAATTAAATATTTTATTAAACGAAAAGTCTTAGATGATCTCACCTACATAGACTCCAAATTAATACAAACAAAACTCAGTCTCTAAAAATTAATAGCCAAAACACGGGCCAATTCAAGATAAATAATACAATAATAGAAAATGTAAATAAATTCAATTACCCAGGTAGTATAATTAATTACTACGCAGTGAAGTACAGAACAGGGCATCTTGAATAGAATCAGGCTGGCTAAAGCAGCATTTGGAGGAATCTGGGCATCGACCTGCCTGAGTAGAAAAACCAAATTAAAACTGTTCTGGAGTTGCATAAATACTGCTGTATGGGACTTGGCACGCAAATCAGGCTAGCATTAATAGTGTTCCGGTATTCATAAATAAGTGCCTCTGAAAGATATGCCGATCCGGTGCTAAGCTGTGGGAGCTGGCAGGTGAAGAGCCTACTTTGTTTAAATAAGAAGAAGGAAATGGCGTTGGCTAGAGCATAACCTAAGAAGATCACATAGACTGCGATATCATGTCAAGCATTAGAGTAGAATGCACAATAAACCTTGTGAGATTTTGCAAGGTTTATGTTTTTAAAAGAAAAGCTATAATAAAGCTAAGTTGACATATAAACTAAAAATAAGATTGGCTGAACAGTCAGAAACTAAAAATTATTTAGATTATTTTATTTTCGATTTGGTGAAAATAATCATCTCATAAACCAGTTTTTTTTTTTTGTTTTGAATAACTTATTTCAGGTTTTCAAGATCATAAATATTTTGGAAGATTGCCGTCGAAAAAAGCTTTCAAAAATTTCTTAAGTATAAAGATGAGAAAATGTTTTTCTAATTATAATAAAATTAATATAAAAGTATAAAGATGAATATTTTGTTATTTATAATATAAAAAATCTTGTTCCATAAACGGGATCAGAAAAAATTAAATATTTTTAGGGTATTATTAGAAAGCGAAAGTTAGACTTTTTATTTTGATGTTTTCTTTTTTTTTTAATTTTTCCGGTTACGAAAGAATTGTTTTTTTTTTGTTAGTAGTTAAGGTCGTAATGTTTTGAACGTTATGTATGTGTGTATATAAGCTTAATTTTTTTATAGCTTAACTAAATTTATTGGGGTTTAAGAATATATTAATAGAAATACATACATTTGTATGTATATTTACTATTATGTAATAATAATTAAAAATTTAACTATTAGAATAGAAAATATTAAAAGTTAAATTTTAAAATTTGTTATCTAACGTGATTAGCACATATTTAACTTTTTTTTTACACTTAGAATTGTGTATGTATACTGAGGCTGGCTTTTAGAAAAAATTTTAAATTTATATCCTATGGGGTTCCTAATTAGATTATTATAAATTATTCATATTTTTTAAAGCAATTTATGTTTCAAAAACTTGACGTCATAATACACAAACACTTTATATGTGAATTTAGTAATAATTTTATGACATACCTAAACATTTTATGACATAAGAGTATGACATACATATACAAGGTGACTCGTATCCAAATGCATTACTATATATACCATCATATAGGTATATCCAAAAGGGTTGATTATGGGTAGATAAAATTTTTGTACATGGATAAAATTCACAATTTAATAGGTTCCAAAGTACAGGGCCCTAAAGCCACTCTAGATAACTTTTTTTTGGAATTTCTCGATTAGTTTTTGGAATTTTAAGAATAATTCCGTTCCTGTGCCAGATAGCCGCATTATTAAATAAAATTTTTGAATTTCAGAACCAAAGTTTTCTTATATGAATATATTGGTTTTCTTATGAATGCTCAGATTTCGGAATCATATGACTTCAAAGTTCGAAAAATTTAAATTTTTAAAATCTTATTCTGTAATAATGTTAATTTTTTAAGTAATGCAACCTTACAACTTTCTTTGATTTTAATAGAGGTGGTAGCCTTGTTGACCGAGCTTTGATTTGATATATGAGTTATTTTTTTACCTGCTCTAGTTTAGAAGTTATTTAGAAAAATAAAATATTTTAAATATTATTCTATACCAAATTTTTTTCTTAAATAGTTTAAAAATCTGTATACCAGAACCGTTCAAAGTTGTGTCTCCCTTCTGTTATGAAAATGTTCAACTTAAAAACCGAGTTTCTTTTATATTTTCAAAAATTAAGAACTGGGAGAATACCATTTAGCATCTTTCATTGATACATCCCAGTTTTGATTTGAACAATCTCAAAATTTATTATATATAAGAGTTTAAACCTAGCGAGTGTCTGAATTTTTAATTACGTGTGTCACATGTTTACATAAACTCAATAAGTTCATTTGAAGCATTGTGTAAAAATTTATTAAGGTAAGAAAATGGTGAAATTACCCTTTTTTATATTAATTAACTAATTTTTTCTTTCTTAAATATACGTGTGCATCACGAAAATAAGCTCTCAACAAAACTTTTTATTGACATATGTATTTACATACATACGTCTTGTTAATGACTTGTTCAGGTATTTCAAATTATCGAGCTTATTATAAAAATAAGATTCAAAGCAGATTGGAATGCAAAAAACTAATCAAAAATCATTATGAATGTCAAACGGCAATAATTATCAAACTTTTTGGTTCAAGAAAAGAGTTAAAAATGCATTATTGGTTGTTAAATAATTTTTAATATATTTTGACTATTTAATATACTATTTTACCAATAGATGTCATTTCATTTTTATTACTTATAATATGTAAATAAAGCTTTTATGTCATTTTTTAGAGAAAAAATTTGAAAAGCAGTCAAATTCGCTATAAACAAAAAAAAGCGTTTTGACATAATTATGCAAATGCTTTTTTTGAGAAAGTGTGTATATGTATATGAAAAAATTGTTTATCATTGTTTATTAAAAACAACTTTATTTTGATTGTAGGTTGGTATTTTTATATAAGATAGAGAAGCTTTAAGTAGTAAATTTTATAATACGTGTACATATAAATCTGGAATTCGGGAATTTTTATCAAAAGCAGCTCCCAGACCTTTCAGGATTCAGGAAATACTTTCAGGAATGATCCGGAATATATCTCATCAAGTAGACTCTGGCATCCTTATTGTAAAAGAAAGGTTCCGCTGGAATATTCCATGTTCTACATTGTATTTCAAAAGATTTCGACGTTATAGTAAGTTCCATATTGTTTGAGAACCGTTAAAAATGCACAGGAAAAAGCGGAGTGCCTGCCAACAATTTTTCAGAACTTCTTTTAATATAAATTAAAAGAATTTAATTAAATTAAATTATATATAATAATAATAAATAATTTAAACAAAAAATATCACTAACAGTTAATTTTGAAACGACGATTTAATTTTGAAATTTTATAAATTTTAAAAATGACAAATTATGCATAAATAATCATACAACGTCAAAAAATACGTTCCGTTTTATTTTTTGAAACTATACATCATTTTGGTAATCTAGTGAAAAAGCTTAAAAGCTCAAGTTTAAAGGGGGTTTGACTAAAAAATTATTAACTCGACTGAAAACTCTTTTTTATAATATGGAAGTCAGCCAGTGTATATAACACTATATATGTATATTATATTTATATTAGTAATAACACTGATATATATCATATTTTGGTAATGCAATTTTTTTTGAAATACTCAGGCTACGCAGTTTACATACGGAACAGTTTTAAATCTCGGTATGATCCTCGATACCGAAAGTAGTCACAAGAAATGCGTCAGAATAGAAAATCAGTAGATATGTATGCTAAAGTATGCAAGCTAATTGACATTTTTGAAAATTTCTTGGTAGGATTGACAACTTTTCTTTGAAGTTTTCATCTTGTCAAGAAATCTAACGGAGGATTCAGAAGAAAGTTTTAAAATTGAAAAGTCGGTATTTTAAGGCGATTAATTGTTATAGCTTGTCAACCCGTATTACCAGAGCTCTAGTGACCCTTGAATTTAATATAAAAAGTCTTAAAAAAACAAACAGAAAAGCGAATTTAATACTTTTCTTATTGCCTTTATTTCCTCCAAGGAAGAATTATGGAAACCTTTATGACGATCTTTAACTTTCTTCTAGTAGCCGTAGCCGTATTTTTTGTTTTGCAAATTGGAACATGAAATGCATGTCTATGATAGATTTTTTTCTTTTTTCTTTGTCATAGTTATGTGTTAAAAATGTCTTCAATCGAAAGTTCAATGATTTTTGATTCTAGCAGTTTATTTGTTTTGTATTCAAATAGTTATGAAATTAAAGAAATTATTTTGGTTTTTTTTTTACAAAATAAAAAGTTTTTATTTTATTTATCTTATTTAATTTTTGTTTTTTGTTTTTTTTTTTGCAAATTATTTACATATATTTACATTTTTATATCACAATAATTACATTAATATAATTATATGACAGTCGTTACTAATTTTCTGCATTTAACATAATGCATATTTAATTTGAGAAAATTTAAAAAAAGTTACGTTAAATCAGTTTTCTAATGTCTGTGGCGTCTGGCTGTTTTTTTGGCAGAGCGGTAACGGTAACCATCACCATGTAATTGACCTTGTGAATCACCGCCGAATCCACCGGCACCTCCGGCGAAACCAGCACCACCATGTCCACCACCGAATCCGCCACCAACGGCACCACCATGACCGCCTCCGAATCCACCACCGATAGCACCACCGTGGCTAACAGCTGGGGCAGCATGATGTACTGGAGCTGGAGCATGATGTACTGGAGCTGGGGCATGATGTACTGGAGCTGGAGCGTGATGTACTGGAGCTGGGGCATGTGCTACAGGTGGTAAGTATTCTTGTTGTGGAACTGGGGCTGGGGCATGATGTACTGGAGCTGGGGCATGATGAACAGCAGCACCACCATGATGTCCTCCACCAACGGCACCACCGAATCCAGCACCACCACGATGTCCACCACCAACAGCACCACCGAATCCAGCACCACCATGATGTCCTCCACCAACAGCACCACCGAATCCACCACCGCCATGATGTCCACCGCCAACAGCTCCACCACCGAATCCAGCACCACCACCATGGTGTCCACCACCTACGGCACCACCGAATCCACCACCACTAGCATGGCTGACAGCTGGAGCATGGTGTACTGCAGCTGGGGCATGTTGTACGGGTGGTAAATATTCTTGTTGTGGTACTGGTGCAGCGCCAGCTGGTTCATGATAATCATATTGGGCTGATGCCACTGCGATTGTGGCTAAAGTTACTAAAATGAATTTCTATTTCCAAAAATTACAACGAATACCGCATCCATCGTAATAAAAAAAAAAAGAGAAAAGAAAACAAAAAAAATATGAGATTAGAAAGAATAATCCACAGTTAATTTATAATTGCTGTATTAAATCCAAATTTCTCCTGGCAATTCTTTTGGTAATTTATTATTTTATATTTTAAATGTAATCCTTTATTTTGAAAATAACAATTACCATTTTGATATTATTTGGTTTTGTTGTTTACTGAAGCTCAGATATTTTCAAACTGATGTCTAATCGTTCAAACGATTTCATATTTATACCCAAAACGCATAAACGCATATAATAATGTTTGCTACATTATTCAAAGAGAAGAAATAAAAATTTATCCTCTCTTTCTATCTATGTATGTATGTATATCCCCAATTATGAATTAATTTTTTCATAATAATATAAGAATTTTAATTAAATATAAGAAAAAAAAAATTGTCTTAAAGTAAAAATTTTACTTGACTTCATTTTTTCATAGTTGTTTGTATAATTAAAAACAAATTAATAGTCAGCAGCAACAACAAAAATAATTGGTAAAAAAAAAAAGACGAAGCAAAAGAATAAAAAAGTTTAACGACAAAAAAAAAAACACCCAAAAACACCAAAAACAGCGATGATTAAAAAGGAAAGCATAACAAAAAAATAGCAACATGCAAACTTAACCTCAAGTTTACAAAATTTCGTTAAAAATAAAGCGATTCATATAGTCTAGTATACTTTGGGTTTAAGGTCAAAATAGAAACCACAAATTTAGTGTATAAAGATGGCAAAATACAAGAAAACAAAAAAAAAAACATTTCTAACTTTTTTTTTCTCTTTGTGTCTACTGTCTTAATTTTTATTTTTCTTGCTTTTAATATTTGATTTCAAGCTATGAAAAGTCATCATAGCAGGAAATTTTTACTTTAAAATTTTTGTATACAATCTGTCAATTATAAATTTTTTTTTTGATTTTTTTTTGTTTTTATTTTCACAAGAATCACACGCAAAATTATAGCGAAAAAAAAGGCCAGAATTGAGAATATCTTGTTCCTCATAAAAAACATAAATATGATTTGTATGTTCGTTTGGTTGATGTACAATATGCATACATACATATACATACTTACATATTTATAAATTGTAGATTTATGTTTGAGCACTTTGTGTTTTTTTTTCTACTTCATTTTTTGCAAATCATTATTCAGAAAGTATAAAGGAGTTACAACAATAGTACATAAAATTAAAATTAAAAATAATACGACAATGATACGAAGATTTTTTTTTTGAAAAGACGAAATCAACCGATTAAATGAATTTGAATGTTTTAAAATTACCCTTGTTTTTAATCAGATCCTTCATTATTAAATTTAATTGGAGAACATAGACACATATAAGAATTACACATGAAATATAATGTAGTTACAAGCAGTTTTGATTAATGAATTTTTAGTTGACAAGCGGTAAAATATTATCAGTCAAAATTTTTATGATATATGGTAACCCTAAAAAAAGGATCAATTTTTTATATTATTAAGAGTGAATAAAATTCTAATTTAAATTTTATTATTTTTACAATAAATTGAAGAATAATTTAATAGCTATTGCGATATTCCAATAATAAACTTGATGCTTAATGGTAGGGAGGGGTGATTAGAAGGATATTTAAATATTTTGCTTGGATTAAATGCAACCTGAAAACTGGAAACAAAATATTATGGCAAAGAACAAAATCACTGATTTCTTGAATTTTAAAATACAAGTGTAATAAAATTTTTTAAAAATATTGAAATAGAATTAATTTAGTGTTGTCAGCATTTCTCAGTTCAAATACAATTGAACTTCCATAAGAAGTTTCTCAATAAAATTGAGGCTAAAAACTTCCTCAAATCTCTGTCTCCCTGAATTCATGAATTTATTCATTAAGTGAAGAATTTTTAGAAAATTTTTGTAATCAGAAGAAACTCACACACATACTTGCATTTATTTAAGAAATAAAACAAAAATATTAGAAAAAAAAAATTTTTTTTTGTTATAATAAAAGAAATGCTTGTTTTTTTTTTATTTTTTCAAGGAACAAGAACAATAAACGGGAAAAAATAAATTTAATATACAAATATAATGAAAAATCCGAAAACTGATATCCTTTAATTTTCATTGATTGGAAATAAGAGATTTTTTTTTTTGTTTTTGCATTTTGGAAGCCTTAATATACAACAATTGTGTAAATATTTTTTGTTTTGTCCTCAATTTTCAAAGGATATTTTATCGATATGATATCAGAGAAGTGAACTCTTAAATATATGTATGTTTATGTGTGTATCATGCATGTATGCCAGTATGTTGTATAAATATTATTCCACCATATTATATGAATCCTTTCAATTTCATTCACATATTAAGAAAGAAAAAAAAATAAATAATAAAAAGTTTAGGTAGTATTTAAAAGAAAAGAAATTTTGTTTTTCTTTTTTTGCTGTCTTTTGTTTGTATAAGGATCATCAAATTTGTTACCTTGGTTTTTTACTGAAAAATTCTTTTTCTCTCACAATTTTCTATTTAATTTTGATTTCTGTTTTCATTCTGATATTTTATGTAATCAAAGAAGATTATGTAATGAAAGGATTTGAATTTTAACAAAACAAAAAGGAGTCTAACAAAACTTAATTCACTCCTTTTTCTAAATTTAATACAAATATTTTGAGATTCTTTAAATTTTTAAATGAATTCTGGCATTATTTTGTAATAAATAAATTTGTTTGATTTAAAAATTTTGAATTTTATTAAGAAAATATTTTGAATTAGATTCGAAATTATTTAAAATTTAGGCCGTGTTTTAAATGGAGTAATTCCTTGATCGCATCATAAGAGCAATGAATTTTCTTTTATAACATTTAGTGTAAGCGTTATTGTAGGCAATTCTTAATGAAGAGGCTAATTTAATAAAATTTTAGGAGGCTCCGTCTTATATTGAGTCACAATTTATTGGAAGTTTATTTGTTTACAAAAAAATTTACGTAATTTTTCGAAAATTTTTGTAAATTTTTATAAATAAATAAAACGTTCGTGTACGTTTCAATTTTCCAAATTAGATTACAAGTTCAAAATTATTTTCATTTTTACGTTATTCTATTTCATTTTAAGACGATAATATTCATTTCGGATAATTTGGTTAGTCCTATCTTCAAATCGCAATTTCATTTCACTTTTCTTGCTATCTGCGTTCACCCCAAAGTACCATGTTTTTCGATTTTCTGTTTCAAATTTTACTTAAAGCATCGATAATAAAATTAAAAATTGAATGAAGATTTTAAATTGAAATACTGTGATTTTTACATCTGTCAAGAAACGTCATTTATACTGTAAATGTCACATTTGTCAAGAAACGTCATTTATGCTGTGATTGTCATGTTTGTCAAGACACGTCATTTAAAAAGACAGAATGTTCGGAAATAAAACAAAAATACGAAGGTACCTGCAAAATATTTTGTTCATCTAAAATAAAAAAATTTATCAAATTTCATTCACTTAAACCTTTTATCATTTAAGAGAGAAATTCTTTGAAAATTAGTGGAAAACCTGTTTGGGATAACAGTTAATTTGAGTGTTGAAACAAAGAGCCTAACAGTTTTTTAAAAGTTGTTTTGTAATAGAAAGAATTAAACCCAGAGTTTTGTTTAAATACAGAGCAAGTGAAGATATACAAAAAATATGTAAAAAATATAAAAATGTTAAAAAAAAATGTATGGCTGGCAAGCCTAAAAGTGTTAATACAGAGGTAACAATAAATTGTAATATAACAAAAAAAAATTAATATATTTTTTTATATTAATTAAAAATTAAGTTTTTTTTCTTAATATTTAAAAATAACATTAAACAAATAAATTCAGAAGCGTAACTATATTAAAGTTCTCTGTACCCACTTATGTGCGCGGTGAGTAAAATAAATAAAATGTATGTATGTGAATTGATTTAACACAAAACTTCTCAATTTTAATATTAAAAATTAATCATTATTTTTATATTATTAATTTATTGTTAATAATTTCAAATTCATAATTTTGTTTAAGTGAAGCCATCCATTGTTCATATAGTCAAAAGAACGCTCAAAATACAACATCAGATTTTCGTATGTAAATGAGTTATAAAAAATTATGAGTAATTCTTTAATTAAGTAATTACGAATTGATTTTGTTTATTTATTTTAGTTTTAGTAAAATTTAAAATAGAATATTCTTGCCAAATATTGTTAAGTGATTAATTACACTATACACAGTCTTCATTTAAGTACGATGGTTCTAAGAATATACATAAGTTTGAATGTCTGAATAAGTAAAAAAAAAAAAATTTCCTCATTCCATTTGAAACGTTAGCGGTTTTGTTTTTTATTTGTAAAAATGTCATTTTCAGACGCGACGTAATAGGAAGCAATATATTGTATATAGTGACAGTTAATTTATCATAAAATTTCGGTGACGTTATTTTTTAATAATATTTTAGTTTTATTAATTTTATAGAATTCACTATGTGATAATGATGTATTGTAAGTATGTATTGGTGTTTGAGATAAAATTATATAAAATTAAAAATTTATTTTAATTTTGATTGAGTTGTAAAGTTATGAGTGTAATTGATAAGGTGTAGCAGGTATTTTAATTTTAATATTTGAGTAAAATTATAGTATGGCAGCATTATTATATTTTCGCTAAACATGTAGTTCATATGACACAAACTGTTTGTGGATTTGGTATGAGAGTTTGATGATGTTTTTTTACTTTAAACCTACGAACACAAATTTTATGTGTAAACCATGACTTACACATTCGTAAATTTGCAAATTGTTATTGGACAAAATCAAAAAGTTTAAGGCTAAAATTAAAATAGACACTCTTAAATTCAAATCCAATTGATAGTAGCTTCACAACGATCCAACTAATTATAAATAACCTGTTCGAGCATTTCTCAACTATCCTTATGTAACCAA